ATTTGCATATTAAGTAGAGTTGCCGAGTTCCTTCGATTCTCGGGCTGCGACTGCGGCTGAAGGTAAGTGCGAAGGTAATTTGCAAGGCACGCAACCCGTTGATGGCCTCAATCAGGTGCTCCAGCGTGTGTGTGTGCATGTGTGTGTGTGTGTGCCACATGCAGCACATGCTATGTGATTTCCGTTTCCGTTTCCGCTTTCGCTTCTCGTTTTTTGCTTTCGCCTGCGCGCTGGACGCCAAGTAATTGGCTGCAAAAATGCTGCCATAAATCAGGGCGATAATTATGTGGGCGACTGCGTGCCAGCACTAGGTAACAAGAACAAGAACAGAACCAAAAAAAAACATGTAAGAGGTTCTAGTCGGGAGCTACCGACTAGGGGATACCCTGTACCCTCTTCTTCCAACATCAAAAGCATATATATATATTCTATTTTAGAAGCTAACTCTAGCTCTTATTATTTACCAAAATTTCCCAAAAAACAGGATATCGATATCGATTCTTATCGATTGCTTATCGATTATCGGAAACAAACTCGATCTGCGCAGGCACTAGGAGGTCCTACATCTTTCAGGTCTCTAGCTCTTATAGGTTCTGAGATCCTTGCGTTCATACATACGGACAGACAGATGGACCTGGCTAGATCGACTCGGCTATTGATGCTGATCAAGAATATATATACTTTATGGGGTCGGAGATGCTTCCTTCTGCCTGTTACATACATTTGGATTTTGCACAAATACAATATACCCTTATACCCATTTTAAATAGGTTCAGGGTATAAAAAAAAACACGGAGGCGGGCTCTCAATTTGATTGCCCCGATTTATATATGCTGTTGCTGCTGCTGCTGCTGCTTCTTCTTGGTTTTTTTCTTTGGCCATCATAAATTATGTTTTGATGTGCGAAATAGTTGCAAGGTCAGGCACGATGTGCGCATCTTTTGCCAAATTTCCATTCACCATTTGCCATTTTCTATTTGCCATTTTCCATTTGCCAGTTTCCATTTGCGATTTTCTATTTTTATATGATGTCCTGTTCGAGCGGGCCTCGGCAGCTTTGGCATTGACTGTCGCTATGATTAATTGCATGTTGTTGCGGGGCATGCCACAGCGTGTGGCAATGAGAATTTGGGGCAGGCAGCGAGCTGAGCTGAGCTGAGCTGTGCTGAGCGTGGCAAATGTTTTTGCCGCATTTGGCTTTGCTGCTCTATGCTAATGTTGCATTATTAATGCAGCTGCAACTAGGCAAGCCGCATGCCCCCAAAACGCTGGCCGGCAACATTTTGTCGCAGCAACATTTTGTGGCAGAAAGGCTAGACTCGAACCCGAGCTACAAACGGGCAAAATGACCACCAACAGGAGACACCTCTCTCTATCTCTGTGTCTGTGTGTGTGTGTGCCTGTCTGTCTCTGTGTGTGTGTGTGAGTGCGTAATGCTCTCCAAAGGGCAGCTCCTGCGGCGACCATGGCTTAGGCTCTTTGGGTTACGGGTAAAAGCAATCACGATAATAAGCATAAATAAAAAGCCCAACAAAAAATTACACGACCATAAAAAAAAGGGCAAAGGGCAAGGCAAAAGGCTAGACAAGCGAGCAGGGTGCGGGACGGGCGGGGGAGTGGGGGGAATGACTACATAGAAAATGGCACCGCAAGTTAACCCTCCGAAATGCTTCAGACGAATCAACAACAACAAAAACGACAAACGAACAAGTCGCACGACGCCAAGCAGCCTGGGTCGACTAGCAAATACCCTGTAGGTAAAGTCCATAAAGCAGAGCACTCGGGCATGTGCTTGTGGGAAGATCGAACCGCTTAGAGACAGACATTTGAGTCGAGTCGCAACTTATTTTTCTTATATATATATATATATATATATTGTTTTTTTTTATCTTCGTATTGTAATTTGAATATTTTCTTTCCTCTTCTGATGTCGCTTTGAACGATTGATTGATTGCAGTTAGATAGATAAAAAAAAAATTGGCTTTATGTTGAAACTAGTTTATAAGTCCAACTTTGATCATGTTTCTTCCCCAAATAACTCGAGTATTTCTCAGCTGATATCTGTGAAACTTTTGGTATATCTAAAAAATATGCTTAAATAAACGTGTATCAATTATCGAGGCGCAAGCTCTGGGAGTTTTTTCGATCAGAGCTGAGATACAAGGTAGTTTCCAATTGTGCCCGATCTCTTAAAGCGCAACATTTCTTAATAAGAATCCAACATCTGGAAGTCTTGCGGATACCAACACTTGCAACGATCTGCGTCCGGTGCATACCCTTGCTTTGGCTCATTTGTTGTTTACAGGGTATTAACGGCACCAGTATAAGAACACAAATAAGTTTTGTAGTGGCTTGCACAACCGCTGAACAACGTCGTAAAAACTTATTTAATTTGTGATTTATATGAATAAAATTTTCTAGTAAATTCTCTGAAATTATTCATTTCGCAGCCCCAACAACAACAACAACAACAACAACAACAGCAACAAAACAAACGAAAGAAAAATGGCATTACCAACTGATGGCTGAGGGGTTTCGTCGGCCGCGCGGGGGCTGGGGCGTGGCAGGCAACAAACAGTCGAAAGGATAAGCCCCGCAACCAAAACAAGTCGCCAGTCTGGAGAAGGGGACTGCCACTTGGACTGACCACGGATGGGAGCGGCTGCAGCGAGGAGAGCTTCGAATTCCTGGCAGGCGACAGCAATGGCGACGATGACGCCGCCCCCTCACCTTCCCTACCCTTAACAGATTTCACCCTCTAGCCAGCAGTTGCCTAAAAAACAAGCAAGCTTGCCTGACTAGAAGATACCCTAAGCCCTGCTTCCTTTCAAGCACAGAAACACACGCATACAGACATACAAGCAATGTGCTTCTTCTTTTCAAAGAAATGTACTCTTAACTAATTCCACGATGAACATTTCCTTCATTTTTTGCGAATGTGAAGTATGTTTCCTGTACGTTTTTCCATAAGAAACCACATTTCTCACATTTGCAAGAAAGTTAACATTTGCAAAAAACGTAACAACTGACACTTGCTAATGGAATCGCAGAATGTGAAGTTTGTAAATGTAACATATGTTGAGCATAGTGAAATTAGACTTTAACTTCGGAGCTTATTGTCCGATCATTAGTTAATATGCAACATTTAGTGCACAAACTTAAGTATTTCCAGCTATTATCAGCTCCAAGATATGCTCAACAATCGATTCTTAACGATTACATTGAAAGTTCAGTTATCGATGCTTGAATTATACTCTGTGCTTCTCCATAATCTCTGAGATCGATAAGTTCATGCATGTGAAAAGACAGACTGACGGAATTGTCTAGATCGGCTCGGCTCTCCAGGAATCTAATAATTACTTTACTTTTTTTACTACGTTATGAACTCAGAGTTGTCCCCTTCTTTATTTACACAAAACCAGAATAGCCTTCCCATGCTGAATGGGAATGAATAAAAATAACTTTTGACTTGGCTAGCCAAGAGTTCACGTTTTTGATTTACTCCCAAGCACACACACACACACACACAAAAGTCGCAACTTTGCGCATATAAATTGGGCAATTCGAATTTTGAAGTCCTGCCAGAATCAAAGGCCGACCCTCCCGCCGGCGACTCGCCGACGCCCGACGCTCGACATTGGCGCCTGCCTCGTGCGGGCAGGGCAAAAAATTTTGGTAAGTATCGCCGTCTAAATCGCTCAATTTACGGGCCAGTTTATCTACGTATAACTGTTGTTAAATTGCCAGATGTATATATATATTATTTTTTGATGAATTGCATACGAAATGGGGCAAATTGTTACGAATGAGAGTTTGCGGACAGCTTTGCCAGTGTTGATTAACACACATTCTTTAATCTTTGTTCAATCATTTGAGAGGTGTTTTTCACTTCCAAGGATCTCTATAAGAATACATATACCCTATAACTTTGCTAAAAGTAAGCTCTATTTACAGCTCGATATACGAAGATCCTGCTGTATGGGCTTGGTAAATCAATTTGGCACTATGCAACACTCTTTTGCCGTCTTTTTCTTATTTTAAAAGTCTGCATGCTTGTTTAAAAAAGTATTTATCTAACATAACCCAAACTTATTCTCAACATGGTAAAACAAAATCTATAAGATCTTATCAGATTTTGAACACTTCAAGAAGTTAAAGAATTTTATATAAACGCAATCACAGTTAATCAAGTTAGTCAATAAAGGAAAAGCAGCTATCAAAACAAGTAGATTTTGCAACGCTTTTTATCAGTTTTTATGAAGAGTTTTGTTAAAAGTGTGTTGTTTAACATGCATGTTAAATATATACAATCATGTTAAGCATGCGCTAATATCCACAAGGAAAACGAACTTATTTGTTAACGTTCGTATAAATATCTTAAAGTAATATTTCAAATAATTTATTTTCTAATATTAACATTTATTCAGATTTAATAAGTATCAAATGCGTTAGGCAACTCTTAACATAATATATTTGAAGCACAGCTAATTCTTCACAATTTTAACTCAGTTTTGACTCGATAAAAATCACTTTAACTTCCTTTTAAACTTCCTATTTCTAAGCACTTTCAACAGCCAATTGTGCTGTGCTGAATGTTTGTAAATATTGTGAACCAATATTTAACACACTCACTTCCCAATTTCCTATGCTACACTAACTAAATAAGTGTTGAGCAACTGGATAAGTGACTGTGTGTTTGGTCACACTCGCGAGAGAGCACTAAATCTATCAATTCCGCTTTGTGCACACATCCTTAAACGACGTTTCACTTTCTTTGAGTATCACGAGGCGAAACACAGTAATCGCGATTGCGAGTCAAGCGTTGGCTGCGTTTAAGAATTGCGGCTAGCAAATCCTGCGCTCAGTGTGGCCAAACTCTGTCTGGCATGTGCCGTGCGGCATGTGGCGAATGGCATGCAGAAGGCAGGCAATGCCACAGCCACTGAATGGCTGGAGGCGTCTGAGGGAGCGGAGGGTAGAAGGAAGCAAAGGCCACTTACCGCACGCGCATCGCAGCGCAGGCCGAAGCTGGCCAGGCACAGGCCCAGCAACGGTAGCATCCACAGCCGGCTGAGGCGGACCACGTTGCGTCTTTGTAGCGGCTCACGCGGCATTTTTAGCAGAGTTTTCTTCTTTTTTATTTTTTTTAAGTTTTTTTTTTTTTGTTGGTTTTTTGCGGTATTTCAGAGTTTCAGTTTTACACTGCAAAAAAAAAAAAGAACAACAAGAAACAAAAACAAATTTGATAAACGGCCGTATTACAATAAATGAATTTCGGACTCGAGTTCTGCTGCGTTGCTGCTGCTCTGCGTGTTTATTTGTTTGATTTTGCCAGTGTTGGTAAGCTTTGACATTTAACTAGCTATTTTCTATTTTGCCGGCGCCAGTGCGGCTTGTTGTTTACTTTCTCAATAACACACATGCACACACACACACACGCACAAACACGCACACAAACAGGCGAACTGGCGCCACGAACAAAATAAAAAAAAAAAAGTACAACACACAACACCAGCGAAGCACGAAGAAATCAAAAACACTCTCAAAAAGCAGCAGCAACAGACAACAGCAGCAGCAAGAGCCACTATTTAAGGAGAACGAACCGAACGCGCACGCGGCACGAATTGTTCTGGCGTTTCGACAGCGTTGGGCGCTCCTTTTGAATAACAGCCATAGCGGCGACGGCGACGGCGACGGCCAAATGGGATGTGCGGCGAAAGCGCAAGCTTTGCGGCGAATTGCCAGCATGGCATTGACGAGCGCAAGCAGGCGAGCTGCTAGCGCCAGCGCTCAGGCGAGAGCGAGAGCGAGCTAGCACTAGCTAGATACTATGGACAAAAGGGCCTGACATGCCATCAAGTTTATAAAATGTACGTGACTGTGGCTCGCTTCGCGCTTGAAGTGTGTGTTAAGCTTTGCTGCTGCTGCTGCCGCTGCTGCTGCTGCTGCTCCCTCTCGCTCCAACAAGGCCCATGCATTTGGCACCATGGCAAATGTTCAAGGACACGCTCGCACACAGTCAATGCTTTCATTGTGCAGCGTTTCTTTATTTTTAGTTGATTTGTTTGAACAATTTCGGTTAGTTTTACTTTTATATATTTTTCTGTTTGTTTTTTCTGTTTTTTTGGTATTTTTTGTTTTCCCTGACCTGACCTTGGGCCGCCCCATTCGCATTTGGAACTGTGTCCTCCTTAAGCATTGCTCCAATTACGCCAAATTTTCGTTGGACAATGGTCGCCACTTAAACTTCACGCGCTCCATTTCACTTCAACAAGCTTCAACTGTGCCAAAAGCCCTCGGACCAATCCAGGGAGTATTGTCTACATTTTTTCCACACACACGCACCCCCCCCCCCCCCCCCCCCCCCCCCCCCCCCCCCCCTCGTTGCCACTTCCTGTTGGTTTCCTTTTGCGGATTACATTTGTTATCGATTCCAGATATTGTTGGATGCATCTAGTATTTTCTTGAACAACGGCTCTGTTTATCATCCGATTGCCATGAAATGTTCAGCATAAATAAGAGACATGTTGAAATAAACGAGTACCAAGCGGCTAGGCCTTGACTTTTCAAACAAGTTAGATAACTGTATTAATCTTGGTCTACAAATTACGCTCGAACGGGACTTTTTATGCCCATTAATTATATGTATGAACCGTTTATAGACATCGTATTATTAAGTACATGCTGAGGTAACCCCATATACGTCGTCTTTATCTTTCTTCTTAGATGGGTTGACCAAAGCTTCTCAGGATCTCAGAACCTATTAGAGCTATAGACTTAAAATTAGGAATGTAGGTTCCCCTAGTACCCGCGCAGTCCAAGTATGTTTCCAATAAACGATAACTTGCCCCGTTTCCAAGTAATCGATAAGCATCGATATCGAAATATTGTTTTTTGAGCAAATCTCGTAAGTTTGAAGAGCTAGAGTCGCCAAACTTGACGTGTGGCTTCTAGAATAGTATATACATATCAAGTTTCTTTCATTTTACAGATATCGTAGTAAATCAAGTAGATAAACCAATATGTAATATCCTTTAACTTAAGCCGCAATGTTTATACAATTGACAAATATTCTTTAGCTCAATAAGATCTACTGTTGAAAATTTGAATAAGATCGGTTAAGAAACACAAAAGATATTAAAGAAGCTAGCGCAAACTGCCTTTGAGGTTGCCAGAGAGAGAGTTTAGGGTATTGCCTAATCGGCTACACCCGACTAGCTTGTTTTATAGACTAAGTTTTCGAAATTTTGCAAAGTTAACTTCGGATCATTTTCATTTTGGTATTGGCCAAGCACGAAAGGTATTTCAAAGCTAACAATTATTGAATAGATTTATTATGCCTACGTTTCCAATAAATTGCCATTTGATAAGTTTGGGGTTCTTAATATAGATAAGGGCTTAATCTGATATAAGTTAACCGCATGGTTAACATGCGTACAGCTACAAGCGCAGCGCGAAGGTCTCCAGGAACTCGTGTGGAGCAGGCGGTCGAATGAGCTGCTGCCCGGCCGCATCCACGTAGTCAGTGTAGGGCATTCTGTTGATTGACTCGTAGCCCAGTCGCTTCATCAGGCGTCCAGAGTAGAGGCTCGTACAGTCGACGGTGAGCAGCGGATAGTTCAGCTCTCGTCCCCGGTCAGCCAGGGCATGCATGAGACGTGCGCCCAGAGCGCGACCACGCAGAGCAGCGTCCACGCCAATCGCGTGCACATGCAGAGCCCTGTCCACGTTGAACCGGGCGAAGGCGTTGGCGTCGCGCTCCGCAATTGCCAGTATGCCCAAGATGCGACCCCATTTGCTGCCGGCCAGGTGGGCGGCCTCCGCGAACAGATGGGCAGCCTCATCTGCAGTCTTTGGGCCCGCCACAGCAGCGGCTACAATGCGGCCGTGTTGCAGCATTAGAAGGCAGGTGCCATGCGGCAAATTGGAGAGCAGGAATTTCTCATCGGCCTCGTCGGGCTCTGGCGGCGCACAGCCGGCTGTAAGCGGTTCCTCCCGGTAATAATGCTCATGCAGAAACTCCATCAGTCTGTTGCCATCGTCCACGGCCGCAACACGGATCTCAAGATCGTCATCATTTCCGGCAGCACTCATCGCATACGATTTGTTGCAGTTAACACAGCTGATCGAGGCAGCGAATGCTTGTGGCTCGCTGCCAGTGTGACCGTATGCTTATAGCGCAATTATGCTTAAGCTTTACACAAAAATACTAAATACTCTGATATTTATGGATTCATCCGATAACATTATTATCGATAAGCGAAGCGTGTTCGATTGAAAAATAATATTCAAATTCTGAAAGCACAACAGTTTTATTGACTATTTATTATTGTTATTTGATTTCTGATTTGTTTGTAAGAGGCTTTCAGAATATTTTCATCAAATATATATCTTCTTGATCAGTATCAATAGCCGGTTCAATGTAGTTATTACCGTTAGTCTGTCCAGGCTTAAGACTTTCTTTTGCAGGCAAATACATATATGTTGGAATCGGTCACTATATCGTAATCATATTCGATTATATCGCTATATTTCAGAAATATGCATTAAGTATACGTACATGGCATTCCAGCTCGAAGCTGAGGCCCATCTTAATCCTCTGCTGTTCTATGGATGCCCTCGAAGATCCCAGCAAATTTCATTTTCATTTTCAGTTCGTCTACCAGAATTGAGTCCGTTGCAAATTAAAGGCTAGGTCCGAATCATACGCTCGACTAGTATCCGGGGCATATCACCTAAAACTATTAATTCTCTAAGACCCCTTCCCACTTACCCTGTCTCTTGGATTTTATACCCTGAACCCATTAAAAATGGGTATAAGGGTATGTTGTATTTGTTCAAAATCCAAATGTATGTAACAGGCAGAAAGAAGCTTCTCCGACCCCATAAAGTATATATATTCTTGATCAGCACCAATAGCCGAGGCGATCTAGCCATGTCCGTCCGTCCATCCGTCCGTATGTATGAACGGAAGGATCTCAGAACCTATAAGAGCTAGAGACCTGAAAGATGTAGGACCTCCTAGTGCCTGCGCAGATCGAGTTTGTTTCCGATAATCGATAACTTACTCCGTTTTCAAGAAATCGATAAAAATCGATATCGATATCCTGTTTTTTGGGCAAGATTGGTTAATAACAAGAGCTAGAGTCACCAAACTTGACATATAGCTTCTAAAATAGAATACATATATGCATTTGATGTTGGAAGAAGGGGGTTCAGGGTATCCCCTAGTCGGGAGCTCCCGACTATAAGCTCTTACTTGTTTTAGATTAAAAGCTTTTGAGATTCGACAATAAATATTGCGCACAGACAAAGGCAGACTTATCGTTAAGTTATTCAATTAATATTATTTCTATTTCTATCTTAAATAAAAGGCATTTCATATTTTGTTTTATTTATTTCTTGTCAATTGTGTGGCAAAGAAAAATTTATTGGCAAAAATAAATATTTCTCACAGACAAAGTCAAGCTCATCGGAAAGTTCTTTGAGTGAATGTATTTTTGCTATATTTTTACTTATTGCATTTGCTTCATTTTCATTTATTTTTGTAAATTCGTAAATAAACATTTCTCACAGACAAAGACGAGCTTATCGTGAAGATGTTCGCAAACAAATATTTAGTGGAGAGGTTATATTCATATAAATATATTTTGATTTTTATCAGATTAGTCATATTTTGTTCTTTTCAGATATAGTTTTGTCATAAGTTCGATAGGCCTAGACTCCCAGCTAGAAGATGAGCGCAATTTTCAAAGCTAAATAAACTATTCATCTAATAGGAAGAAATAGTTAAAGATTTTTCTAGCCTCTTCATGAGAATAGGTTCATCTACTCGTATTACCAGAGCTCGAAATTTTTCATGTCGGAAAATAGCTCAAAATTTTAGTGCGTAAAGCGAAAACTTATCAGACAATCAATGCGGTTTTATTAGAAAATATCATATATGTATATGCTTGATATTCTTGTTTCGACTTTTTCAAACATAGGTATTATTGATTTCTTGATATTTCACAAGTGAAATTTGTAAGCCAAAGTAAATCCTGGATATCGCTTATTCGGCTATCAAAAATGAAAGCTTTGACTCCCATAAAACAGTTTCAAGAAGTTCAATTTGTGCGCATTGCCGCACGCCTCGGAGATCTGCCCGACATCAATGCGAGCCTCACGAGTCAAAGAAATGCTCTAGATTTTTCGCCTAAGACGAAGAGCTCTCGAAATAGAGCCGAGCAAAAACGAAGTCGCGTCATGCACGACAGTGTTGCCACATTAAGAAAGAGTACAAAATATGACAGATAGACGGATGACAGAAAAGTGCAAGTGCAAATTATTCGTTAGCATTCCCATTTTTTCCTATATACACGAAACGTTATTCAAACTTAAAGGAACTATTCGCTATTATATAATTCAAAGAGTTCCACTTTGTAATCAATATGTCCACTGCATCCTAGAAACTGCCTGTTTTCGTACATTTGTGCTTCAGATGGCAACCCTGGCTGTGAGACAGGTCGCACGAGTAATTTTCGAATACGTCTTCGTATTTTCGAACAAGTCACGTCGAGTTTTCGAACGCCGGCTCAGTTTCAAGGGCCTCCGTTTCAATTTGTAGCTGCCCTCAGTCTGTCTCGGCGTGTCGTCGACTACAGACCTATTTTTGTTTTGCCGATTTTATTCTAATTTTTTTTTTTCAATTATTTGTATTTTTTTTTTTTAAATATTTCCATATCTTTATGTTTGCATGTATGTATGTAGAGTAAATTTTGCTTTTTTTGGTTTGAAGATTTTATTTGCTGTGAATTTTTGTTTGAAGATTTTATTTGTTTTGGATTTTACGAGATTTTTTTTTTTTATTTTGTATGACAATGGACCTATATCTGTATGTTTGCATGTATGTATGTTTATGGGGCATGGATTTGTTGCCTTATTTTTTCTGAATTTTTCAAGATTTTTTGGAAATATTCCTCTGTCTGTATTTTTGGATGTGTGTATTTAGAAATTTATTTACCGCCAGAATCGAACATGGATTTCCTTGCTCCTTTTTTTGTTTGAAGATTTTATTTGTTGTGGATATTACGAGATTTTTTTTTATTTTGTATGAGAATAGACCCATATCTGTATGTTTGCATGTATGTATGTAGCACGTACTGCCAGAATGGGGCATAGTTTTGTTGCCTTATTTTTTATGCATTTTTCAAGTTATTTTTTTAATATTCCTTTGTCCCTATGGATGTGTTTAACATATTTAGAAATTAATTTACTGCATGAATCGCGCATGTTTTTTTTTTTTTAGTTGATGGCACTGCCGAGATATCTGTAATCCTTCAACGCAATCATTGTGCCATGGAACAGCATAACATTTTCTAATCAGGGACACGTCTGTTTTACGCACCAATGAAAGGTCATACAAGATCTGTTGTCTTCTCGGATAGTGTTACGATATTTTACTTTCTCTAGGTGCATGATGACACGACCTTCTTAAGAACATTTACCTCGGGTAAGCCCTTGTTTTACTCATAGGCGCCTAGTCTAATCCTGCTTGAAGTGAATGCCTTCGAATGGGCAACATTATTGAATCCAACTTGGCCGTATTGAAAAGTAAGGATCTTTATTACTTCTCAGCTTATTTCGATTGTTTTGACCGTGCTCGTACGGGATTCTGGCAGTGGAAAATCTTTGGAAAGTTTTGAATTTCTACACTATTTCTCTGAAGTTTCTCAAAGTATTCGATGCACATATTCAAATATGTGTGCCTGATGAGGCAGGGCACTTAAGAATATTAGGATGTTTCTTGATTATTCTCTCGTGACTGGAAATCTCTGCTAATCCAAGCGCCGAGAATCCGCTGGCTAAGTAAACTATGCAGCACCCATGGACACGTCTGTTTTACGCACCGATGAAAGGACATCCAAGATCCGTAAAGTTATACTTTACCTAGGTGTATGAGGACACGGCAACGTTTACCTCTAGTAAAGCTCTGTTTATCTCGCACCGAACATGTCTTCCACTTAGCTGCTTTAAAGTAAATGTTATCGGATTAGGATTATGAGCTTGGACTAAAGCCATAAAGGAGTATGAAAAGAAAGGATCGTGAACACCTCATATTGGTATTTTTTTTTGATAAAACGTTAGAATTGGACTTGTTTTCGTTAAGTACGGACCCAATGACATTGTTTAATCAAGTCGTACGGGCTTCGTATGAGTAGAAGGCCTGTTCAACGTTCATAGTTCAGGCACAGAAAATAACTTGATGGCTTTTTAAGTTTTTGCAATTTTTCTCTGAAGTTTCTCAAAGTATTCGATGTAGTTTATCCATGAGGCGGCAGGTGAATCTTTTCCGGCAACTTTCAATGTGGTTGTCAAGCACATACTTCATGCATTTCCGGTGCAACATTGCTTTGATTGAATTTGGTATGAACTGCTGGACTGGTATTTGAGCAAAAGTTTACCCACATAATTCCTGTTTAGAGTCTTCGCTAGCTAACAAAAATTCAAATGGGGGTGATGTTGAAGACATTTATTCGTCTGTTTTACTCGCCGATGAAAGGACATCTCAGATGGATATCTATTATTACTTGATGGATAATACATGATACGTGTGACGTTTGTGGTCTTAAGAGGGGGCTGTTTTGGGTGAATTGTGTGTGATTAGAATGCTTACCAATTTAAAAGTGCGGACTGTCTTTGAATGTGAACAAAATATGTTTTTATCGTGTTATTCGAGATCAATAATATTGTTTCCTACATGTCACAAATCGTTTTGGAATATTTTTCTTTCCCTTTGCTTTAATGGGCCTTTTTCTTTGTGGGAAAGTCTGTCCTCTTTTTACAAACTGCAGCTGGAAATCTGGTCCAGAACATTTCAGATGAACGCAGACGAGCGCCAATCCTCGGAAGCCTTTGATTTGGAGCGGGACCAGGTCAACGTTCCAATGTCATGCACATGTCTGTTTTACGCACCGATGAAAGGACATCTTGACGGTATTATCATGGCTAGTGAAAGTTCATTCGCAACTTGTACCTTCGCTTTCCATTTGGGACATCGGAGATTAATATCATCTAACAATCGGAACTCCTTGAAATATTTCTATCAGTCCTTGTAATAAACCTACAATTGTATATTCTAGACAACAGAACTTT